TCATATTCGGAATTAGGGACATGAGAAGGCCCCGAAACGAAAGAAACATGAAAGTCGAAAATCTGGGCGGACGGTGCCTTTAACAACTCAGTAACGGCTACCCATCAACAAATGACCTACAGGTAGCAACAACTGGCATGCCTGATCACTATGTCAGCCTCACATTTATCTCAATCCACTTAATTCGCTTCGTTATTGGTCAGTTCTTGAACATTGGTCATTAATCAGTTCAGTGAACCGACCTATAGCGAAGGGTTCGCCAGTCTATCCGCTTGGTCACTTTGTCCACTTCACTATTGGTCAGTTCACTAATAGACCAATGACGAAGCGAAACAAGATCAAGTAAATTAAGCGGATCATATGGCGCATGCCTATAAAAGGCGTTGCTCGAAGTTTTGCGCTCAGGGCCATCCATGAGGTCTCGCTTCACTTGTGCAAGTTGTTTTACTTTTCTGGCCGCTAGAAGTATGTAAAAATGACAGCACAGAGAGTGGAGGACATGTCGCCGAATGTGGAAAGGTCCCACACGGACATTGCATCAGATACTCAGCCTATGCATGTATTAGAAGGTGCATTTATTGCAGATGTCCGGCGGGAACTCCCACTTTCGGCGACCTCATGTCCTCCACCCCAGCACAGACTTTCTGTGATGATCATACAATATAATAGAAAGCAAATATACGAAGGAAGGTATAAAGTCTTTGCGATTGCAATTTGAATCTCACAGAACAGTTATTCAAATGGTGTAAAACAAGACTTACTTCATCCATAGTCTTCACTTCTCCGACTTCTTTGAACATGGACAACAGCTCATTGCCGTACTCATGTATGTCGAATTCTTTTCTAGTTTCTTCTTCTTCAAGTATAGGCATCATGGTATCCTCCCATTCCTGAACGCGGGTCACCAGCTCAGAAGTTACCTCCTCGGTAGTAGACCAAAACCTAAACGAGTTGATGATGGAAAAAAAATGAATTAGATGAAGAAAAGAAAACGGCAAAGCAATCTTACTTCAACATGTGCTCACGAAGGATGGCCAAAAGCCTGTGCTTCTTTGATTGATGAGAATGATCATCATGTGCACCTTGACTCTCACCTGGTTGAAACCCTAAAACAGAAGCGAAAAACTTGGTTTTGCAATACTTCTACGTTTTGTTAATTTTCCGTTAATTCAAAAAAATATAAGTCAAAAAACAGGAAAAATGAAAGATACACCAGAAATCAAAAATTTAATGAAAATTTGAACTAAACTAAATGTAATAAGTACAGAAATGCGGTAGCAATCCTATGGCAAAACTCAATGCTAATTGAAAAACTTGGATAGCATAATAATTACAGCTTGCCTTGTATTATAATGGCAAGAAGAAGATAGAGAACCTCTCTTGCATTAGAGCAGAGATACAATTTTCATAGGACATACCTCCATAAAGAGAATCAAGCTCTATCGAGTTCTGCAAGTCATCGTCTTGGATATCGCCAAAGTGGAGTTGCTCCACGTAAGCACTTTTTTGACTCTGTACAGCCTGTAATTGAGCATTGATTTGCTTATCTAACTAAATAGTGCAATGATACCATTGTGACATTGTCCTTTTCCTTTCCTGTTGTTTCTGCGGTACATGTCTCTCCTGCAACATCCTTCGGCGGGATATTCTCTTTGTTTTCCAACTCTTGTTCGATGTCATCGTCATCACAAGCATCGGCAGCATCATCTTCTTCATCATAGACAGCTGCAAATCTAATTGAAGACATACCATATGCTTAAAGGCAGTGTACGGGCAAAAAGTCGATCTTGAATTTTGTGCTTACCTGGGCTTATTCGCTATGCTGAATCCGAAAATTATCACTGGAGAGCGCGAAAACGGTGAAAAAGGGCTCTAACGCAAGAGGGAAATCAGCGGGGGCGGGGTCTTCCCCATGGTGGATCCACACTTTCAGCTTCCGGAGCAATCCTCACGGTTCCAACTTCAAGTCGTGTTTACACTTGGCCAGTAGCGAAATTAGGGCGAGCGGAACCGAGAAAACTGCTCCGTAAGCTGAGAGCGTAAATCCACCGTAAGGAAGACCCCGTCCCCTGATGCTTTCCCTCCTGCCATAGCCATTTTTTGCCGCTTTCGCGCTCTTCAGTGGTCATTTTCGGATCCAGCAAAGCTAACAGGCCCAGGTAAGCCAAAAAATCTCAGAATCGACTTCTTGCCCGGACACTGCCCTTGGTATGTTATTGAAGACCATGCAAGCATGACAAAAAAAATCACACTACGAGCTACTACTATTTATATAAATGTGCACGTCTAGTGCTCGAGAAATTGTGGCGAATAACATGAGATATGGCTATAACAAGTTGATCACCTTCCGGTAAACGCTTAGCCCTCGCTTTCCGTTCCCGCTTTGCCTCTGCCCTTCTCTTCATAACAGCAATGATAAACCGATATAGAGCATCTGATTGCTAAATGAATAACTGTACACTCGACACCTTAAGTAGGTAACAGATATACCCAATCATCGGCCTTATCGGTGGCTTTGTGTTTTTTGCGCATATAGAAATGTTCTCTGACGTAATCATTGGTCTGCATGGTCTGCTTCTGTAACGTCATTGTCGCCTTCTCCACCTAAACAATGATGATTGGAAAAGCAGAATGGAAACAGAGGCCCTACTTTCTCCAGTCTTGCAGCTATCGTAGTTCCTTTGACAAAACGTTTGATTTTATCGACAGATTTTGTCTTCCACTTAGAATTCACAAATGGATCCATCACGTGCTTTTCCGTGGGGTCATCTTCGTCGTCGTCAGCCTCTTCCCACTAAATGTGGTGGAAATCTACTTGATGAACATAAGCTTTTAAACTCACTGGTTTCTTTTCAATCCGTCGTTGCTCTGCTCGGGAAGGTCGTTGGACTTCTTGTTCAGGAACTGGTAGATGCATGCTCGCTGCCGTATCAAAGTCATCGTAGCAACCGCCTCCATCGTCGTCCGCTCCATCAACTTCCATTTTCTGCGATTCCGGAATGGGCGTTTGCAGTAAACGAGTGCTAGGCCTGAAGGAATTATTTCTTAACATTCTTACTCCCTCTGCTCTCA